TAGCAGCAGCACCCCCAGAACCGGCACCTCCAGTCCCAGGGTCTGCAGCCTCAATGTCTCCAGCAGCAGCACCCCCAGACCCAGCACCTCCAGCCCCAGCAGCTCCAGTACCTCCAGTACGAGCACCTCCGGGACTAGCACCACTCCCAGCTCCAGTGACGTCAGCAGAAGTACCTCCAGCGGCAGAGCCCCGAGCTCCAGAAGCGCGACCCTGACGGCGACCGTACCAGTCGTGCAGCTGCTGTGAGGTGAGAGGCACACGCGGACGAAGGCGGCTACTCCAAGGAGACCGCGCAACAGCAGACTCAGAACCCTCAGCGCCAGCACCCGCAGCAGCTCCAGAACCTCCAGCGCCAGCACCCTCAGCAGCTCCAGAACCTCCAGCTCCAACGCCACCAGCGCCAGCACCTCCAGCGGCTCCAGAACCTCCAGCTCCAGCACCCTCAGCAGCTCCAGAACCTCCAGCAGAAACAACTACAGTAGCAGAGTCACCAGCTCCAGCGCCTCCCGCAGCAAGGCCCCTAGCTCCAGCAGCGCGACCCAGACGGCCAACGTACCACTCACGCAGCTGCTGTGGGAAGAGAGGGAGTCGACGACGAGAGTGCAGCGGCGAGACACCAGCGGAGCGACTACGAAGACGGCCGCTCCAGGGAGACTGCTCACCAGACGCCTCAGCGCCCCCAGGTGCAGCACCCCCAGACTCAGTACCCCCAGACTCCTCACGCCCAGGCTCAGCACCTCTAGTCTCCGCACCCCCAGGCTCCGCACCTCCAGGCTCCGCACCCCCAGGCTCAGCATCCCCAGAAGCAGCACCCCGAGCAGGACCACCCTCAGCAGGACCTGAGTCACCAGTGACCTCAACCGGCGCAGTCAAGGGAGGAGGGTCTACCTGAGACACACCTGAAGGAGCAGGACCGGGAGCGGGGAGGGGGTCTACCTGGGGAGCACCTGGAGCGAGGAAGAGCGGGGGGGGGGGGGAGAGGGGCAGTGCGGTAGGGGAAGAGACAGTAAAAGGGAACCGACTCGTCGAACGTGACGTCATGAGAGGGGAAGACACGGCGCGAGGTGGGGTGGTAAAACTGCCAACCAGGCGCGTCAGGGACAAAGCCAAGGAAGACACAGGGAACAGCGCGGGCGGAGAGCCTGTCCGCGGTGGTATCGCGGACAAAGGCACGAGCACCCCAGACCCGGAAACGCGACGCATCGCCAACCTTCCCCGTCCACAGCAGTGTGGGCGAGGTCTCCGGCAAGGAGACACGGGGCCAGAGGTTGAGCTGATGCGCGGCGTACCGGACCGCAAACGGCCACAGAAAATGGGGGGCAGCCGCATGGATCATGGAGGTACGAGCGACCTCCATGACTAAGCCAATGCGGCGCTCAGCAACCCCATTCTGCTGCGGAGAGGCCGGAAGCGTGAACGTCTGGCGGATGCCGTGCTCCGCACAGAAGGCTGCCAAGAGGTCTGAGGAGAACTCACCACCTCTGTCAGAGTGCAGACGCAGGACAGGAAAGTCCGAGTGGAACCACTCCCGGAGCTGGAGACGAACAGCGCGGATCCAGGGGATCAAAACATCAGGGACCTCCCCCTTGTGCTGCAAGAGGAAGACCGTGGTGTAACGCGTGTAGTCGTCGACGACCAGCAGGAAGTACCGCTCGTGGCCCTGTCCACGGACGCGGGCTGGGCCCCACACGTCCAGGTGGAGAGTCTGCAGGGGAGCCTCCGTGGGAGGGAACAAGGAGGAGTGAGGAGCGGCGCGCTGCCGCCCCTCGACACAGGGAAGACAGGGAGGAGCAGGCAAGGGTGGGAGGGGAGGGAGAACCCTGGGAAGACCAGAGACAAGGACACGGCGGTGCATGCTACGAAGGCGCTGCACCGAGGGGTGACCAAGGCGGTGGTGCCAAAGGAGGGTCTGGTGCGGCAAAGCGCGACACGAGCAGGGGGCCGCTAGCTGACCTGACGCAGACGCAGACGCAGCGACCTGAGGGGACACGGTAGTCAGTGTGTACAGATTCGAGCCAGGCGCACGGGTAAACGTGGCCAGGTGCCGGCCCGTCCGGGAGCACGTACAGTAGGTCACGCGCTGACCTCCAGGAGTGAACTGGTCAACCCACTGGTCTTGGAGGTCAGCACCACTCACCAAGTTCGTAGAGAACGAGGGGAGGTGAAGACCTGAGAGGGAGCCAGACGGGACCGCCGGACACGGCAGGACCGTGGAGGAGTGCGCAAGTACTGGACCCCCAGAGGGGTCTGCCAGGGAGACTGGAACCGGCCGGCTGAGCGGCGTGAGGGTGGTGCTGTCGCGAAAGAAGGAGCGGGAAGCACCTGAGTCAAGTGTGAAGGTGTACAAGGCCTCAACAGGCGCAGTACTAGAGAGAGCAGACTCACCAGCACCTGGAGCAGCAGCCTCACCACCTAGAGTAGGAGACGCACTAGCACCTAGAGCAGCAGCCTCACCAGCACTTGGAGCAGCAGGCTCTATACCTGGGTCAGGCGGTACGCACAGGTAACAGGCACGGTCAGCACTAGTAGGCAGTGCATACATGGCAGTGAGAATAGCATCAAAGTCAAGAGCAAATATATCTACCCTCTGCCCAAGCAGCTCCACCCAGTCGGGGAGCTCAGCCGCGTCGCCAAACTCGGTACGCGAGGCGTCGCTCAGACGGGTGAAGCAGCGGGACTGTGTGTGACCAAGCGTCCCGCAAGCCTGACCAGCCCTATCACCTGTGCGAATGACGTACGGGCAGCGAACGGTACTCCGAGACCCTCTACTCTGAGCGTACCACTCGTGAAGCTGCTGGGACGTAAGTGTCTCGCGTGGACGCCGCTGCAGCTGCAGCTGGCCACTGCCAGACGCTCTCAACTGACCAGCTCCAGGGCGACAGCTACGACGGCTACCGTGACAACTCCAACTAGCGTACCACTCACGAAGCTGCTGGGGCGTGAGAGACTCGCGTGAACGTCGCTGGAGCTGCATCTGGCCACCGCCAGTAGCAGTAGTAGTAGCAGCAGTAGTAGCAGCAGCCTAGCAGTAGTAACAGAAGGAGCAGCAGTAGCAGCAGTAGCAGCGCGGGCAGGGCAGGCGCAGCAGGCAGGCAGGCAGGCAGGTGGCGCTACAGTGCGCGAACAAGGCAGGTGCTCACCAGTGGCGGTCAGGGCCGGCGCTCGGCGGGCGGCGGCCGGGTAGGCGCACGACGGCGGCGACGGCGGGGCCACGACAGCTGCGGCAGAGCAGGGCCGCGTCGGCGGTAGGGCAGGTCCGCGACAGCTGCTGCAGGGCGGGGCCGTGACAGCTGCAAGAGGCTCCGCGGCAGCTACTGCAGGGCAGGGCCGCGACGGCAGCAAAAGGCTCCGCGGCAGCTGCTGCAGGGCGGGGCCGTGACGGCGGCAGAAGGCTCCACGGCAGCTGCTGCAGGGCGGGGCCGCGACTGTGGCAAGGCGCTCCGCGGCAGCTGCTGCAGGGGCGACAGCGGCAGTCAGACAGGGGCGGCGTCCAGAGGAGGGGCGTCGCGACAGGCCGGGGCGACGTCCAGGGGGGGGGGGCGCCGCGACGCGCGGGCAGCCGCGGCGCGCGGGCCTGCAGCGGGCAACGCGAGCTGCGGGCGCGGCGCGCGAAGCCGCCGCGGGCTGCGCGAGGACGGCAGCCGCGGCGCGCGGGGCTGCAGCGCGACGTGCGGGCAGCTGACGCGACGCGCGGGGCTGCAGTGCGACGCGCGAGGCTGCAGCGCGACGCGCGGGGCTGCAGTGCGACGCGCGGGGCTGCAGCACGCAGCGCGGGCTGCGGACGCGGCGCGCGGAGCAGCAGCGAGCCGCGCGCGGGCTGCTGCAGGGCGGGGCCAAGTGGGGCCGCGTCAGTAGCAGGTCGTGGCCGCGAGGAGGGGCGGCGCTCTGGACTGACGGGCCTGCAGGGGCGGCTCGCGGGCCTGACGGGTCTGCAGGGGCGGCTCGCGGGCCTGACGGGCCTGCAGGGGCGACGTGCGCGCCGTACGAGTCTGCAGGGGCGGTGCGCGGGCCTTACGGGCCTGCAGGGGCGGCGCGCTGGCCTAGGGCAGCAGTAGGCAGCGCGAGGGCTGCAGGACGGCGCGCGCAGCACAGCACGTCACAAGGCAAGGCAGGCAGGCAGGCAACACGTGGGGTACAAGTATGAAACCCTAAAAGGGGCTGTACCCCATATTGGCTACCCCACTACAGCCTACACATATATAACATGCATGTACTTTGACAGGGTTCGCCGCGTGGCTTCCCCCCACCTCCTCTTCTCATACCTCTCTCACCCCCCCCTTTGCAAAAAGGGGGTTCGTAAGAGGGGTTCTCCGCGTGGCTGATTGTGGCCCAACAAGTCTGTGTATTGACAGTCATGGAATGATTTCATGTCATCTCGTGCATACCCCTTATACAACGACCCGTGTGAATTCGCAAATACAAGAGCTGCACTTTGGTGATGAAAATTCAAATTTCATATCTGGCATTCAATTGGCACATGGGCTTATAGTTTTTACTCGATTATAGGCGCTCCCCTGATTTTAGCGCTTTATTGCGAGCTTGTATTATAAGCCCAAACTAGATATTTTTCTACAGCTATAGATCTGATTGAAAAGCATCTGTACGATAATTTTGAACCTGACGTCATAATAGCAGATAATAACCAGCCCATAAAACGAAGCGAGTGTGGTGTCCATATATTCGTCATCGCTTTCCACTTGCTCACATCGCCGCACGCACCTTTCGCGCCGCAGCCTCCTCGCATCGCCTCGCCTCACCCTTCCCGCGTGCCGCTCCGCGTCGCCCTCGCCATGTTTGCGGGGCTCGCAGCGCGGCAGTCGTCGAGAGGAGTCGCGGCCGTGCGCTCCGCCGTCGCCCGCTGGTGCGTCTACCGCCAAGCCAGCTGGCTACGGGCCGCTGCCGATTAATGTTTACCTTAGCGTCGAATGCGTTCCGCGAAAGTGATCCGTTCCTAGTCTGTCCGTGCTTAGCTGATCGGGAGGGGGGGGTTAAAAGCCCCATGGCTCGACATGGGCTAGAGACTCACTCTTCCCACTCTCGACCTACCTCCCCCCTCCCCCTCCCCACTCTCGACCTACTTAAACATGATTCCGTCCTTGCCGCCGTCCTCTCCTCTCCCCCCCCACTTCCCTGCTCCTATTCTCCCCTTTTCGCCCTGATTTTTCTCTCCCTTCTCTTCCCTCCCTCTCCCTCACAACCTCTCCCAGTTCGCACCTCTCTGCTTCCCCTCCGACTTCTTTCTATCCAGTCACTTCTTTGTCTCCCGTACTTACCCCTCTCAACCCCCCCCCCTTCATCCCCTCCCACACCCCTCTCATCCCCTCTCCCCCATTCTCATCCCCTCTCCCGCCCTCTCATCCCCTCTCCCCCCATCTCATCCCCTCCCCCCTTTTCATCCCCTCTCCCGCCCTCTCATCCCCTCTCCCGCCCTCTCATCCCCTCTCCCCCCTCTCATCCCCTCCCCCCTCTCTCGTCCCCTCTCCCCCCTCTCATCTCCTTTTTCCCCCTCTCTCATCCCCTCTCCCACCCTCTCATTCCCTCTCCTAACCTCTCATTCGCTCTCCCACCCTCTCCTTTTCTCTCATCCCCTCTCCTTCCCTCTCATCCCCTCTCCCACCCTCTCTCACCCTCTCGTTCCCTCTCATCCCTTTTCCCACCCTCTCCTTCCCTCTCATTCCCTCTCCCACCCTCTCCTTTCCTCTCATCCCCTCCCCCACCCTCTCCTTCCCTCTCATCCCCTCTCCCGCCCTCTCATCCCCTCTCCCCCCTCTCATCCCCTCTCCTTTCCTCTCATCCCCTCTCCCACCCACCCTCTCCTTCCCTCTCATCCCCTCTCCCACCTTCTCCTTTCCTCTTATCCCCTCTCCTACCCTCTCCTTCCCTCTTATCCCCTCTCCCTCCCTCTCATCCCCTCTCCCACCCTCTCCTTCCCTCTCATCCCCTCACCCACCCTCTCCGTCCCTCTCATCCCCTCGCCCACCCTCTCCTTCCCTCGTCCCCTCTCACCCTGCTCTTCCTGCCAATTGTCCGCATCCTTCCTGCCAGCTCATCCTCTCTCCCTCCCCTCCTGCTACGCGCTCCTCACTCCCAGTCCCCCGCTTCTTCCCCTCCCTGCGCTGCCATCATCCACGCTACCCCGCCTGCAGGACTGCCGTGGCAGCAACGCTTCTCCCAACCGCACACGCGCCATCCGCCTCACCCATCCTCCCTCCTCCCGCACCCCCCTCCCTCTCCACACCCACCTCCACCACTCCCCACCCCTCCCCGCCTCTCTCCTCCTCCTCCTCCTCTCCCCACTCCTCCCTCTTCACCCAAACCATCCCCTTCACCGTCCGCCCTCTCATCTCCGCGCCTCTCCCCACCTCCTCCTCCATCACCCCCACCTCACCCGCCCTCCCCTTCACCCCCAACCGCACCTTCGTGCAGCTGCGCACCAACCTCCAAGTCGCCGACAACTCGGGCGCGCGCCGCGTGCAGTGCATCAAAGTCCTGCGCGGGCGCGCGCCCAACGCGGCGGGCCTGGGCGACGTGATCATCGCGTCGGTGAAAGACGCGGAGCCGCGGGGGAAGGTGCGCAAGGGGGAGGTGGTGACGTGCGTGGTGGTGCGCGCCGCCACGCACCACAAGCGCAAGGATGGGACCGAGGTGCGGTTTGATGGGCCGGCGGCTGTGGTGATCAGCAAGGCAGGGGAGCCGGTGGGGACGCGCGTGTTTGGGCCGGTGCCTCATGAGCTGAGGGCGCGCAAGATGCTGAAGCTGCTCACCCTCGCACAGCACGTCATATAAGGGCTAGGTGCGCAAGGGGGACGTGGTGACGTGGAAGATGCTGAAGCTGCTCACTCTCGCACAGCACGTCATATAAGGGCTAGGTGCGCAAGGGGGACGTGGTGACGTGGAAGATGCTGAAGCTGCTCACTCTCGCACAGCACGTCATATAAGGGCTACATGGCGTGTGTATGAGGACAGCAGCCACTGGTGTAGGAGTGGCACACATTGGGATCATAAAAGTGACGTTTTGATGTGGGCGTGGAGTGGACTCAGCTGGAGCAAGTGGGGGTGAGGAAGATGCAGGTGGGCACTTGCCATTGCTGCGTCCACGTGCAGCAGTGGTGAGGGGGTGATTGTCTGGAAGGGTAGGCAGGGGACTAGAGTGTTTGGACTGGTGCCATGAGCTGCGGGCACGAAAGATGCTGAAGCTGCTCACCCTCGCGCAGCACGTCATATGAACCGTCACACTGGGCAGGGCACACGCTGGGCACACGCTGTGTTATGGATGGCACACTTTGTGATGGGAGGGTGACATTCTGATGTGGGATGGATTCAGCTGGAGCAAGTGGGGATGAGGAAGTTGCAGGGATTGCAGTTGGGCACTTGCGATTTTTGCCTCCAGTTTAGGGCAGTGGTGAGGGTGATTGTGCAAGATGCTTAAGCTGCTCACCCTTGCGCAACACGTTATTTGAGCTGTGAGCACTCGCAACGGGCACACTATGTGTATCATGGCATGTCAGAGCAGTCAGAGCAGTGAGCACTCACATGCTGTGCCTTGTGTTAGATACCCTCCGATATGGTTCAGTTCGGTGTCGCAGGGAAGGAGAAGATGCAGGGATTGCAGATGGGCACTTCCAGTTTGGCTATGGACAGGGGCAGTGATGAGGATGCTTTGATGGGCAGACATGCACTAGAAAAGTAAACTTAGCCAGTGGCTCGGAGGCAACATTTTCTGCAGTGCCTTCTTTAGGCAGTCAACCTGTACAATAACCGGATGGAACACATCAATCATCTTCTACGACTCAAGAACCTAGTTATGCACAAAATCCATGTTAAGCAGGATTCTGTATTTCGTCATACCCCCTATCTAACCCAGGATAAACTCTAGAGGTGCACTAGCCGCTCACACCTCCCCTAGTGCAGCCAATGCAGCAGGGCAGCAGCAGCAGCAGCAGCAGCAGCAGCCAGTGGCCGAGGCTGCGGCTTGAGGAACACAACAGCGGGAGGTGCAGTCACTTGTGCACGTGCCGGCTGTGCTGTTGCATCCCTTCCGCGTGAGCACTCTCCTCCACCCCCCCCCCACATGCAGTGTACCCCCTGCTGCACGTGCAAACCTATCCCCCCCTACTCCTCGTTGGAGCGCACGTCAAACTCCTCGTCGCTGATGACGTTGGGGATGTAGAGGCGCGACCCCGCCAGCACCTGGTCGCCCCGCACCTCGGGATTCGCACTGCGCAGCGCATCCACTGGCACCTGGGGGGGCATGGGGGTACATGGGCGCATGAGAGGGGAGTATGAAGGTGGAACACGGGCAGCACCTGGTCGCCCGCACCTCGGGATTCGCACTGCGCAGCGCGTCCACTGGCACCTGGGGGGGCATGGGTGCATGTGGGGTGCATGGGGGCACACGGGGGCGCATGGGGGCACACGGGGGCGCATGGGGGCACACGGGGGCGCATGGGGGCACACGGGGGCCATGGGCGGGGATGTAACTGATGGGAGGCTGATGAAAAGAATATCGTGAGCTGCGGCGAGCACCTGAGAGTGGCAGGGAGGAGGGCATCCATCCATCCTGATGGGGTGATTGGTGGCATGAGCAAGTGGGACGCCCTGCGAGGGCCATGCCTGGATGGCAGGAACATAAACAGACAACGGTGTGGTGCGTAGAGGAGAGGCTGCAAACGGGGACAGCGGGGAAAGTATGGCTGCTGGGAGTGCAGAGAAAGCTGACATGGCCACCCCTCACCTGGTGCTTGTGCGCCAGGCCCCCTCACCTGGTGCTTGTGCGCCAGGCCCCCTCACCTGGTGCTTGTGCGCCAGGCCCCCTCACCTGGTACTTGTGCGCCAGGCCCCCTCACCTGGTACTTGTGCGCCAGGCCCCCTCACCTGGTGCTTGTGCGCCAGGCCCCCTCACCTGGTACTTGTGCGCCAGGCCCCCTCACCTGGTACTTGTGCGCCAAGCCCCCTCACCTGGTACTTGTGCGCCAGGCCCCCTCACCTGGTACTTGTGCGCCAGGCCCCCTCACCTGGTACTTGTGCGCCAGGCCCCACAGCGTGTCGCCTTTGTGCACCTTGACTGTCATGTCCGGATCCACCACCAGCGCCTGCACGTGCCGCCTCACCTTTGCCTGTGATGGGGATTGGGGGGTTGGGGACACACATGACGGCATGCTCACATGCCAGCATGGACTCATGCAAATGAACGGATGCACACAAAGGCACACATGCAGACACCCACATATGCATGCATGCACACATGCGCACATGCATGCGTGCGTCTCCCTCACGCACGCACACCAGCCAAGACATAGGTGCACAAGGTATGGGAGTGGCTCATAACACGCTAAGCCTTCATCGCTGAGGGAGAGAGTGGAAAGGCAAGGTGAGCGGGATGAGGCAAGGCGAGGGGGGAGAGGAAGTCGTGCAGAAGGCATGGAGAGCACTGCGCGACTCAGCTAGTGGCTGCGCGTGCAGCTCTTCACTTGCACGTGCACGTCGCCCTGCTATTGCCATCACCATCGCCATCACTGTCACCATCGCCATCACCACCTCATCACGATCAACCCTACCCCCATCTATCACCCCAAGATAAACCCCTCTCACTCCACGTCTCACCACCAGCGATCTAACAGGAGTCCCAGCCTCACCTTCCCTTTCCCCCTGTGTGCCTTCGCGCCTTCCTCCCCCTTCGCCCCCATCAGGTACTTCACTCACAGCCCCACCACCACCGGCGAACTGCCTGACATCCCCGTCTCACCTTCACTTTCCCCTTGTGTGCTGGCTGCGCCCCTCCCTCCCCCTTCCGCCCCATCCATTACCCAGAGATTAACCCTTTTACCTCCACGCCTCATCCCTTGTGTCCCGCCTCACCTTCCCTTTCCCCTTGTGCGTCTGCGCGCCTTCCTCCCCCTTCCCCCCCATCAGGTACTTCACTCCCAGCCCCACCACCACCGCCGCGCCCCCCACGATCATCGCGCCCTGCCACAGCGGCTCCCGCCACCACTCCCCCTCGCCGCCCTCACCCTCCCCCGCGCTCTTCCCGCGCCCCTTTCCGCCTCCCCCCGCCGCCTTGCCCGAGTCCCGCGCGGCCATCTCAGCCGGTTTACCCGTCCGCGTCGGCGTCTGTTATCGAGGTTGCGGAGAGCTGCTTTGAAGCCGCTTCGGGCAAATCGGACTCGAATTTGAGTTTTGCGACGGCCGCGGCTGCGAGGTCGTGGCGGGGGCGGAACGCGAAGGGCTTAACGCGCGCGGAAGCTCGAGCGTGCGCACGCGGATGGCGGCGGCAAGAAGCGTGAGGCGCGCAGGTCACGGCGGCGGCCGCTGATGCGCGTAGACACGCTGGCAAATCGCGGGAAGGCGCGATATTTTGGCGTAGTGAGCGGGGTAGGGGGACACGGAAAGTAGTGTACTGAACAACGCGAGAGCGAGCGAGAGGACGGAAGAAGGGGCTGCGTGGAGAATCGGGGATTAGAGAAGCTCGGTTGCGAGAGGATGGAAGAACGGTGAAAAGATGCCGCCGCTGGGGGAGCCGTCGGAGACTCAGAAGGTGGACGGATGAATTGGTTGAAGCGGCGGGTGGTGCAAACGTTGGCGCTGATGATGGCGTTGGGGGAAGAGCGAGGTGGCGGACGGGAGGGAAGAGCACGGGGAGCACGGGGAGCACGGGGAGCGCGGGGAGCGCGGGGAGCACGGGGAGCATGAGAACGAGATCTCACAGCGGCCTCGAGAGTTGCTCCACCGCGCGAGGTGGCGTCGTTTCTACGCTCACGGCCGGTCGCTGGTGGATACAAACGGATCGTCCATTGGAAGACGCTCGCGACGCCACACGCCGACCATGCAGGGCAGCTCTTGTGGGCCAGCTGTCAGCTGTCTGTTGTCGTGTCGGCTGCTGGCTGCCACTCCCCATAAGCTTGTGCTGTCAAACAAAATGCTGCCTTCCTCAGTATAAGATTTATACGTCTGAGCATATAAGAGATTTTATTGGGATAATATCTGTAAGAAATTTTAGTGATACAAACGGTACATCTTTTATCTAAAGAACCATTTCAATATGTACTGTATATAAATGATTACACCACTTTCCTAAGCTTTCCACAGAGTGCCTGAACGTGTGTCTCATACCCAATTCTTGCAAAGAGGCCATCAGACAGTGCACTTTTAATGATACTTCGGGTCTCAGCCAGAGTCGAAAATATTTTTTCATCTGAAAATAGGAAACTGTAGCGCTTGTCGCGGGGCTTGTCACTGGTGATGTTTCTCACAACTTGACCCACTTGGCCTAGTTCAGTGGCAGCGCAAGAAGTCCCGGCGCTGAATGTAGGCTCCTTTCCCCCAGATCTGATGTGCAGGATTTCAACATCATATGTATAATAGTATGACGTCGGTGAGTACCTGCCGTGATAGAGGGATAGAGGGGACATGGCGAGGGATGGAGGGGACATGAGGCGGGAGGTGGGCACACCTTGGGTCTCAGCCATTCGCAACACCGCAAGGAGATACCACAACCTAGATACCACAACGTAGAGACCACATAATGACGTACCTCACTGCCTTGATGACGTATTTCCCCGATGCACCTTTGTCGCCGACAACTTTTCCTTTGAGCTTAGTGGGACGCAGCTTGGTCACGTACTTCGCTGGCAATGGGAATGGCAGGGGCCGGGCGCATGGGAAGGCAGGGGACGGATACGAACAGAAGCACCATGACTTGAACCGTTCCCAAGCGTCACCCCAAGTTACAGAAGAGAAGCGGCGGCGGCATCACCACATGGTTGTAACTTGTAATAGACTGATCATGTGCAATATGCTGGTTCCTTATTCTGGTGCACGACAAACCCGTCGTCTGCATTCCAAGATTGATATCCATTCACATATTCCCACACAGGATCAAAACAGCGAAATATGTTCTGTGGATCACGGTCGTAGACGCTCACCTATTGTCTTCCCCTTCCACGCCAGGGGCTTGGCCTGAGCGGCAGACGCGGCAGTAATGCCGCCGTCGTAAAGTGCCGCCGGGAAGAGTGATGCAGACACGGCGGCAGTGAAGAGCGCCGCACCTGATGGAGAGGGAAAGGCACGAGCGAACAACCGCATGTCAACCAAAGACGCACTCTGGTGTTGCGGCAAATTGACAGTGCGACGCTGCTGAGCGACGTCTGGTCGAATCGATGCGCGCACTGGCCCAATAAGAAGTGACAGGTAATCTCTTTACGCTGTCCTTAAAATAACAGCGGAAACAAAGAATGGGTCATCTACTGTGGTGGCATTGGTGCTCACAAAACAGGATGACGAAGAGAGATGCCGCGCGCTCCATCACGTTAGTAACATAGCACTAGAAAGTCTGGAAACGATTGGCTCGTTTGCAATGCATCGTCCTTTGGCCTGAGAGGCTTGAAATGCGAGGCGAGTGGCAGCATGATGGTCCAACGATGCGGGTGGCTGGCGGGACTGGGGAGGTGACTGTCATGTTGGTTTTGGAAGTCGTCAGCATCAAAGAAGAGATTGTACAGCTGGAGGGAAGGGAAGCGGGTTTGATAGGCTGTCATGTCACCTTCCACGTGAATATGATATGACGTTGTCTCAACGTTGGTGACTCATCTAAGTAAGTATGTACGGACAAACATGCCTCAGGTGTGCAGCAGGGTATGTGAGCAATAGTTGCGGGAGGGAACCCTAGCTTCCTGGCATTAGGGTTCTTGCTTTCGTGTAGTGCACGTTCCCTAACAGTAATGTTTGAAGTTTGCTTCTAACTTGTCTGGATCTGCAGACCCACTCTGTCTAACTTGTTTGATGAAAACGTGTAACGTTGTTGCGGTCGCCAACGGAATCTGCGAAAGCACTTGCCATGCCAACCAGATGAAACCTAGCTGTGTCTGTAAACGAAAGCGTGCGATGCGTAAGGTTGCACACTTAGGCAGGCGAAAACGCGAAGGCAAAAAACGCAAAGGAAAACGAGTTACCACGCTCGCGAAACTTGAACACCACCCACCCACTCGAGGATTTTACATGGGCATCTGCCTTGTGCTACTCCCACTCATCGCGTCAGATGCTCGTCGGGAGAAATGGCAGGTCATAAAAGCCACTCTTTCGTCGAAAGCGCGTATAGTAGTAAGCAGCCCGATTCAGCCCACTTGCGCCTTTCTTCGCCGAGCTCGTCACGATGGCAATGTGACAGTAACGGCGCGCTAGTTTGTTCGCATAGCGAGCGAGCGAGGGACTGCGAAGCAGGGGGAGGGAGCCGGTTTGAATCGTGTGAAAGTGAGTCTGCCTGCATCCTACGCTGGCGACAACAGCGACGTCAGAACCAAGACAGGTTCGGAAAAGATCTCAAAACACTGCATGAACGCAAGACCCTCCACACCAGGCAGCTTCTCACCCCATGTTTTTTCCAGGCTAGGGTTCAGGCAACTAACAACCGTACATGTCCTGCAGCACCCCTTCCGTACATATCTAGCTGAGTCAGGCCACCAACCCCGCCTCCTTCCTCGCCTTTTTCGCGACCCTCTTCGATGATGACGTCTTTCAACATGACTGTGCCTCGCTCGTTCTACCGAACCTCCTGCATCGTTGGGCGATCATGGAGCCACTCACCCCCATGGCTCACGTCGCATCCAAAGCCACTCTGTCAGGCTAAAGGATGGTGCATCACGTCGGGTGCATTTCATATATCTTACTAGTTTCGCATATTCGAGTACATGTTACGAACATGGGGCGCACATCACCTCTCGTCATCCTACTCTGTAAGCAGCCACCATAATAGATGATCCGTACATTTTTTCAATGTTGGCGGCGGTGTTAAAGAAAGTGATTCGAAACTGTACACTTTGGGTCAATGAAAGCGGCATTGAGTTGACTCCATGTCACTCAGCAAGCTGCCAGCGCGAGCCAAGTGCGTCGCTCATGCTCGCTTGCGCCCGTCCGAAGAGCGGAATGTACATGATAGACCTTAAACATTGCCACCCAAGGCATACTCGCCTATCATGCCCCCCGCATGTTACTTTTTCTCCCTTCCTTTTTTGAGACGTCCCCTTTCCACCAGATTCGGCACTCTTCACCGCCGCCGCGTCCGCATCAACCTTCCCGGCACTCCTCTCACACGACGGCGTTTCTGCCGCTCAAGCCAAGCCCCTGGTATGGAAGGGGAAGACAATAGGTAAGCGTCATGATGCACGAAATATTGTTTATACATTATGTGGATTACGCTAATGACAGTCTCGGAATGCAAACGAATGGGCTCTTGGTGCAAGTAAAGAGCCAGCATTTTGCATGGTCATGCTAAAGCACTTTGTAGTACCGCTTCTCGTCTGTTACTGCCCTACGCTTGGGAACAGTTCAAGTCATGGTGCTTCAAGTTGTATTGGTTCCCTGCCTCCCACGCGGCATGTCTCCCACCAACCACTCCTGTTGCCAGCGAAGTATGTGACCAAGCTGCGTCCCACTAAGCTCAAAGGAAAAGTTGTGGGCGACAAAGGTGCATCGGGGAAGTTTATCATGAAGGCCGTAAGGTATGTTGTCATGTGGAAATTACGATGAGTGAGGTGAATGTGATGTGTGACCGTATTGCGAATACCAAGTTGTGTCCCCCTTCTGCCCCATGTCTTCCCTATCTCTCTCCATGTCCTGCTGGCAGATACTCAGAGACATCATACTACAGTACATATTATATCGAGATCTTACGTGTCAGGTCAGGGGGAAAAACGCCTACCTTCAGCACCGGGCCTTCTTGCGCTGCCACTGCCATAGGCCTAGATGGTCAGTTTGTGAGAAACATCACGAGTGTAAAGGCTGGTCGCCACAAGCACTACAGTTTCATTCTTTCATACGCTGACGTACTAACGAGTCTGGCTGACGTTCAGCTTGACATTAATAGTGCACTAGTTGCGGGCCTTTTCGTAAGAATTGGGTATGAGTCAAACTTTCAGGCACTCTGTGGGAAGCTCAGGAAAGTGGTGTAGTGTTTGGTTGGCAGATAATGTTATTGTTGGGATGAGAAAAGCCCTTAGGATCGTTCAAGGCTAAGGGTACGTTCCTGTGGAGACACTTGTGTCTCAACCCCTGTTTTCCCGGATCGCGCCTGTAAATTTGCAAAATGT